TATTCTATTCTATTCTATTCTATTCTATTCTATTCTATTCTATTCTATTCTTCATTCCACTGTTCTATTCTCTATTCTATTCTATTCTTTTCTGTTCTGTTCTGTTCTGTTCTGTTCTACTCTATTCTATCCTAATTGCTATTCTATTCTTAATTCTATTCCTAATTCTGTTCTAGTCTATTCTTCATTCCACTATTCTATCCTAATTGCTATTCTATTCTTAATTCTACTCCTAATTCTATTCCTATTCTATTCTATTCTTCACTATTCTATTCTATTCTAATTCTAATTCTAATTCTAATTCTAATTCTAAGCATAATGAAATGAATCAGGGTCACAATTAATAGGTAATGCATTTGAACAGAATTTCAGAATACAGCTAGTCCTTGACTTACAACCATTCTTTTAGTGCCCATTTGAAGTTACAACAGCACTGAAGAAACTGATTTTTGACTAGTTTTCGCACTTACGACCATTCCAGCTTCCCCTTTGGCATGTGATCAGAATTCAGATGCTTGGCAATTGGCTCGTAGTTAGGACGATCGTGGTGTCCTGGGGTCATGCGATCTTCTTTTGCAAACTTCTGACAAGCCAAGCCAGTTTCACTGAACATCCGCATTCCTAAGTGAACAATTCCAGGGATTCACTTAACAACTGTGGGTTTTTTTTGTTTTTTTTAAAGCATGTGTCAAAAAGCCGGCCAGCATCCTCTTGGTCACGTGATCAAAATAAGAATGCTTGGCTACTGCCATGTACAGTGAGTGTTCGTCTTAACAACAGTTCGTTTAGTGACTGTTCAAACTTAGAACGGCACTGAAAAACTGGACGGTATTCCTGACAGTTGAAATGGTCACGTGATCGTGTTTTGTGACCTCCGTGGCTGGCTTTCAACAAGCAACGTTGATGGGGGAAGTCAGACTTGTATCCCAGCAACCGTGGGGTTCACTTAACAACCGCAGCAAAAATGTCCTAAAGTTTCTACGTCTCACTTAACGACCCCTTTGCTTTGCAACGGAAGTTCCTATCCCAGTTGTGGTCGTATGTCAAGGACTACCTGTGTAAGCACTAGAGAGATTTCTTGTGAACGCTGGGGGAATTAAAGCCAAAGTGCTCTTTGGATAAAGGTAATTCTGATGTTTTCGGTCTCTGATCCTCTCTCTGTACTTAAGCTGACATTTTCCTTCTTTTAAAAGGAACTCCCTCTGTATCACTGCAAGTTGGAGGTCACATTCCAGAAAGGTAATAATTCAAAGATCCGAATCTTTGCAGAATGCTCTCTTTTTCTATTGCTCCATTTCAGCCTGGTCTGTCAGTATTCTTCACTGGGAATTCCGAGGTTTTCCGCCGTCCATAACTTCACATTTACAAAGCAGCTAAGACCAAAATACTGTAGCTCTACCTCGCTGTTCTGACCCGGCTCCACAAACACGACAAACCCTCTGTAGTTATATCAAGCCCTGTCCAAAAGTTTCTCTCTCACCATACGCTAACAAGTCCATCTGTCTGGAAGATGATTAGTGGTCCGCCACACCTCTTCATCTCCGCCCCCTGCCTTTTATCCCCAGAGCTAGAATGGAGGCTTCGCTAGCAGCGGTGGCTCTTCTGTCACAAGGACCGGCCCATAGATTTCCACTGCTCTCCTCTCCTCTGCCTTCTGCACATCCACGCGTCGGGCACTGGACCCGGCTGTTCCTCCTCTTCCTCATCAGCCACCTCCAGACCTGGGGGCTGTTGACTCTCCCCCTGAGGACTGATGGATGGACCCAGGCTCTGCCTCCACCTCCGCCTCTCTCTCTTCCCCTTCGGAGCTCTCAGGTTGCCCTTGATGCTGGCCCTGACATCCCACCTCTCCTCCTCTTCAGCAGCCGACAGGCCACAACACTTGCATTACTTGGGGGGGGGGGAAAAATCACAAAGAAATATAAAGCATGGAACTGCGTTAAGTGGACAAAAACAGGACAAATACAGCTAGTCCCTGGATCTCTCAAAGTCTCTAGAATCTCTACAGTCTTTTAGATAGTCCTTGACTTACAACAGTTCGTTTAGTGACCGAAGTTACAACGGCGCTGAAAAAGTGACGGGGGGGCATTTTTCACACTTACGACCGTTGCAGCAACCCCACGGTCACTTGATTTACATTTGCAGGCTTTGGCAATTGGTTCATATTTATGACCGTTGCAGGGTCTCAAGAGTCGCACAATCCCCTTTTGCAAGCTTCTGACAAGCCGAGTTTAACAGGGGAAGCCCGATTCACTTCGCAGCCATGTTACTAACTTTTATCCACTGCAGGGATTCACTTAGCAACGGTGGCAAGAAAGGTTGTAGAATGGGGCAAACCTCACAACCAATTCTCTCCCTTAACCAACGTAAATTTTGTGCTCAGTTGTGCTCTTGTAAGTCAAGAATTGCCTGCATTTGTGAAGGTTGCACTGTCCCAGGACCTTGTGATCCTCAGAGGACTACCTGTGTTCACTTAACAACTCCAGTGATCCATTTAACAAGTGTGTCAGGAAGGTCGTAAAATGGGGTGCCGTTCATTTAATAATTGCCTCCCTTAGCAACAGAAATGATGGTTGTATTTCGATCCGGGTCCAGCCCCTCCCCCTCGAATTCCATTAAGCCTGGATACCAATTTATTCCTGACTGTCATGGCCCCGTCGGAGTCCACAGAGGAAAACGAATAGCTGGAGCTGGGTCAAGGGGGTGGCCTTGTTGGCTTCAGAGGAACACGGGGAGGAGCAGGACAAGGCAGACCCAGGTCCCTTGGGCTTAGGACCACTTGCCAGCAGGGAATAATGGGGGCGGGGGGGGAGGGCAGGATGACCGAGAGAGGGCAGGCGGTGGAGATGAGGAGCGATGGAGCTCAGGCGACGAGCAAGGACCGCCCCCTCCTGATCCCTGAGCATGGAGAGTGGAAAGGAAGCCTGGAGCAGCGCAGGCCGACCCGACAACTCGGGAAGAGCCCTTCTTCACAAGGCACACCTAGGGACTGAGACTTAAGGAGATGCTGTGGGGTGTGGCACTTGTCGGGAACAAACACTGAATTGGTGGAGTTTTTTGTCGGGAACAA